ACGCTTTTCCCCCTAAAGGAACTTAGGAGACCACTAGAGTTCAAAATGAAGATTACAGTAGTTCACCTGGAGGGTTACTGGTGAATAGCAATGAAGGAGGCACTGGAGGAACCCAGGCACCAGGTAGGTATAAACCATTCATTAACTGATTTGGTACTTGGATTCACCATTTTGTAATGGAGTTTGAATTTCTCTCCCTTTAGTCCAAAGCTGCTCTCTGGCTCAATGCTTAATCTTCACTTATGCCTTTTAGCATTAAGAAACAGCCAATATTGGTCTGAAATTAAGGACTGAGGAATCAATATTTTTAAAAAGTGCATAGTAACCAATCTCCTAGGGTATTTACTCACTTTCAGAATTACTTCAATTTCAATCAATGTAAAAGCTCTGGATTTATTGTCCTGCCTCAAGAGCTAGTCCCCTTTCCCCAACATGACATGTTCTTGTGTCTGCATAACTCAGTCTAAAATAAGGCCTCAGAGTTCCTGTCTGTGGTGGCTTTTGTCACTCTCTGTACCTCAGGGTAGTTAGGGGACAGGAAAAGGAATATTAGTATTTCTGTTCTCCTTTGAAGTGTCTACATTAACATAAGTTGCATATATGCCTCTTAGTTTTTCTCATTGTCTAAAATAATAACTATAGGAACACACAGACACACTCTCACCTCCCAAAGACCAACATCAATTCTCATAGACAATACAGCTTAAACTAGGGGGCCCCAAATTCAAATGTGTGCTGAGGCCAGCCAGGAGAATCAAGTGAGTATGGGGCACAGTGTCATAGGGAGACATGGGGACTGTGACAACCTCTACTTGTCCCCATCTTTTTGTTACTCGTGGGAACAGGAGTCTTCAGTGTTGCCATACAATTTGAATTACGTCAAGAGGAGCCAGAAATCCATATTTTAAAAATGAAAATGGCACCAAGTGGCACCATGAACCGCCCACTCAATGAGTGACTTGAGTCGGGAGTAAGACAGCAGGAAATGGGGTGAGTTTAAGCACGAGGCTCTGTCAAGAGCAGACGGCTGCCACTCAGCAACACCACATGATGCCAGGGAGTCTCTGAGCCCTGTGTTGCCCAGCTGCTGATATTTCAACGTCTGTGGAGAATGCAGAGGAGTCTAGCGATTTGGGGGTGACTGGGACATTGGTGGGCATGTGTCAGTCATGTGGTGGCCAGAACAAGAAGGGAGGAAGTAAAGACCCTGAGTGCAGATTGTGCATTAGAGTTTACCTGTGAAAGGAAGAAAATAAATTAGGACATTAGCAAGGTCCAGCAGATTTTCTTTAAGGTGGATATGACAGGGAAGGAAGGATTCTGAGGGTAGAAGATGAGTAATGTGAATGGAGAGGGAAAAGTGAAAATGTTGTGGAGAGCAGGACTGAGGAACACGGAACCAGGAAACTTGGAGGAATGAAACCAAGGGTCCAGGAAGAGGGGAAAGTTGTGGGAATGAGAAAGGGGATCTCATCCCCTGAAAAAGAGATTTATTATGGTAGAGTGAGATGATCAATTATTTGGATAAAAATAGAAAACACACTTATCAAATTTGTGCATGCTACCGATCTGTGAGGGGTAGCTACTGTGATTGATAACAGAGTTAATATTCAAGAAGTCATGTTGGAATGTGGGAATGATGAACTGAAACAAAATGAAGTTTAGTGGTGATAAATGCAAAATTTCCCCTTTATACTGAAATAAATCATTTAAAGTACAGAATGGAGGATAAATGACTTGATACCATTTCATGCGGAAAGGATTACAATTTACTTGATAAAAAGCTCACATATTAATAATATCAGAAGGGTAAAATCATTGCTTTAAGATAATGCAAACCAAAGTTTAATGAACTGGCAGAGTATAGGGTCCAGCTGAGGAGAGCCTCCAATTATTATACATGAAAAGTCTACAATTGAGGCAGAAGGAGCAGTCCACAATTAGGGCACTAATTAAATAACTATGATACATTCTCATAATGGAATACCCCACAGTTATGAAAAAGATTAAGGAGTCTCTCTGTGTACTACTTTGACAGATTGTCAGAATATATTGTTAAGCAAAAGATGAAGGTGTATGATAGTATATACAGCATGCTACCATTTATCTGTGAAATGGACAAAATAAGAATATATAATCATATTTATTTTTATTTACATAACAAAATTCCAAAATAATAAAAAGGAATTAAAAAAATGTGGTTACCCATAACAGGCTGAGTGGGAAAAGAATAGACAGTGATGGAATAAGAATAAGGTTCCTCAACATATCCTTTTAAATTTAATTTTTGACCATGTGAATGTATTTTCAAATTTAAAAATATTTTAAAAAATGAGGCTGGTGAAGTGGGTTTTTGAAATTTACAACAGAAAAGATCCAGGGACATCATCCAAAATTATACTCGTCCTAATGATAGGGTTTATACTTTATTTGCCCGTTCTTCCGTAGTATCTTCAATAATACTTATCAGGTAGAATGCTATCAAATAAATATTTGCTGATCATTGAACAAATGAATGAATACATGAGTGATATGACATGAGATTATATTTCTCCTCAAATGTACCAATGACTCTTGTGTCAAAGAGGAATTAGCCCTGTTTTTAGTTCTATGTGATCAAACTAGAATGAATGAATGGCAGTTATGGGAAAAGAAAAAAAAACAGTTTGTTCTTTCAACAATCATTTTTGAGAGACTGTTTTGTAGCAGGTCCTGAGATTATCAAATGGAATAAGACATGGTTTAAGCTTTTTCAAGAGGTTCCCAGTTTAGAATCAGGGTGTCAGGCTCAGAGATAATTATATTATAACAAAATAGACACAATGCTAGAGGCAGACACAGAAAGTTTGGAGAGCGCTGAACAAATCTGGGATGAAGGTGGGTCTGCAGCGGTCACAGCTCCCTGGAGCATGACATGCCTGAGCTCAATCTTAAAATAAAGAAGGGAAGGGAAAAGGGAAAGAAAGGATAATCCAGGGAGAGGAAGGGCAAGGGCAGAGACTCAGGGCAGAGAAGAGTGGAGTATGTTGTGAGGAACATCACCCAGTTCATCTTGGTGGGAGCACAGAGATCAGGGCAGGGATGGCAGGATTATGTGACAAGAAAGGGATATCAACAACCTTGGACTCAGTATAAGAAAAAAGTTGCTAGCAGGCTGCCTCTTCTAAAGCAGGAGTGATCCCCAATAGAGGTTTCCATGTTCAAGCCCAGGTGGGCTACATGACCTCTTGCTAGTGCTTTAAAAAATAAAAGAGTGCAGAATTTAAAGTAGACTTTTGTCTTCTAAAAGAACTGCATTGCAGGAAAAAGGGAAGATGGAGATGATTACATTTGAGTTCCAGGACACATCAAAATTGCAGATTTTCTTTTATACAAGTGCTACTTGAGATCAAATCCCCCACTGCCTCCTGGTTAGCAGGAGAGGAAGTGTTATGACACTCGGGGAAAGGAGAGGAGACCTCACCATACTAAGCAGTGGGGGAAAGGTGGATTTTGAAGTGAGTAAACTTGAAAAAGGCTGTTTGCAAAGGGTGTTGATTACATTTGAAAAATCTTGTAATCAGTAAAGCATTAAGCAGCTATCATTTTGTTGAGGTTTGAACTTTCTCTAAGGTCTGTCATATAAAGCTGTCCTATTTCGGAGAAGCTGATTTTTTTTTTTTTTCCTTCAGAAAGGACAGGAAAGAGAAGGAATCTAAGCATAGTGTCAGGGGTCAGACCAAACGGTCATCTATGATACCTTACAGTCTTGAGTTCAGTAATGTGAAACATTGCTGTTAAAACCTGCCTTAGGACTGGCCTCATATCACTTCTAGAGTAAGAATCTCTTTGAGACAAAGGAAGGGTTTTTTTGTTTGTTTGTTTGCCTTTGCTTCTCAGGACCTAATATAGACGTTTGCTATCTAGTAGGGACATTAAACAAATTCTTTTTATGAATGGATGTGGTAGAGGAGCACCAATAGTTCTCTGACGTCTTCAGTCTTTATATTAACTGCTAACAGTTTTATGTGCTAAGTAGTTTCCATGAATATTTTAATACACACGCACACATTTTACAGATGCAAAAGCTGAGGAGTATCAAGGTTAGGTAACCTGAGATCACATAACTAGTCAATGATAGAACATACAAGCCTTTCTAACTCCAAGCTCACGGTCATAGACCACTGTATTGGGAGATTTATCTAGCTTCTTCTATTATTCATTCTTTTTCTATGTATTTTAGATTTTAAATTACTTTCAAAAGCTACACAAAGGAAATAGGGTGGGATTCTTTCCCCTTAAATTAAACCACAAAGTCCTTGTGCTTGTTAGGAAGGAATCTCAGGGTAGCAGCCTGCATCCCATGGGGAGCTCTTGTCTGCTTTAGAGATTTGTCCTGTAATTTGGAGAAACGATAGAAGCTGACAGTGCAGTGAAAAGGGTACAATCAGCTTCCTGACATGGGAAGAAGGGCTGTTAAGAGGTCAGCTCTCGGGAGACCCTGGGTGCCAAGTCTGGGACAGAGCTAACAACTTCCAGAGGGAGCTGGGGCCAGCCCTTCCTCTCCAGATGGCTCATGGAAGGACGGATGCCCCACAGTGGGGGGGCTGTGGAAGGGGCTGTCCTGGAGGCAGGAGCAGGCAATAACAACGAGGAACGCTTCCAACACCAACTGGGGCGCGCTGTCCCTGAACGAGAAAGATCCAAACTACTGTCTCCTCACAGCAGGAAGCTGTCTCTCATACTGCTCAGCTGGACTCACCCCGGCACTCCTTTGATGTGAATAACTATAAATATGCTACATACAATCTTGCATATGTTTCATTCTTTGGCAAAAGTGATTATACTAATTACTAGCATTTTGAGGGTGTGTCATTGTAGTCAAACCCTTGAGATGGATTTTTTTTACCTCATAAGAGACGCTACAACACCCAGCACATATGGTATTGTATTAATGAGTTACTGAGAATATAATTTAACATACATAAGAAATCAAAATTGGTTATTTCCTTCCTACTAACCTGAGTGACTGCTTGCAAAGTCTGCAGCAAATGGAACGGTGTGGCCGTTATTTCTGAACTCCTCTCTCAAGCAAAAAAGAAAAAAGCAAATATAAAACTCACAAAGTTGGTTTCGCTTCACACAGCTATGATTTTTCTGTTTTCTATTTTCCTCCTACAAATAAAATCTAAGAGAAACGTAATACTTTTCGAGAAGTTTTAGTTTTTCTAAGATTGTAATTATAACATTCCGTTTTATCTTCCGTTGTCTGTCTAACCTCAAAGACCTTACACAATTGCTAAGACGTTAAGCTGAACACACCTGGAAACCACTATTTGACTCATCGTTTCGTTATTGCTAATTTGTCAAACCGTTATAACATTATACACTTTTTTTAACTGGGCGGGGCCTGCCTCACACACCCATTCCCTCCGTCCCCTCCCCCGCCCCCCCACACCTCACCCCCCCACACCCCCACTTCCCACCCCGCCATCTCCCACCACTACCACCCCACCCCCACCCCGCACGCCCCCCCCACCCCACGCGAGTCCTTCCACGAGCGCGGTCCGGCGGGCGGAAGGGCGGTGGGCGCGCAGAGGGATCGCCGGGACCCTCCTCCAGCTTCCCAGCTCTAACGACAAACGCTACCACAGCTGACGCCACCGAGCGCCTCAGGACCCGCTGAGGTAACAAGCAGCCTCCCCTTTGGCAGGTGAAAACCCTGGGACCGCACAGGTCTAATGACTAATGAGGTAACCCTGAACGGGAAAAA